CGATAAAGGGTTAAGTAAGTCCAGCACCCTAACTCCTAAAAAATTGTGTGGCATAAAATTGCTCTTTCGTTACTAGTTATAAATTTTGGCGTAATGGTAAGTGTTTAATTCTAAGAGAATAAGATGGAAGTAAAAGAAAGCAACAAATGGTAGTATCTTATATCCATCAATCAACCTCTTAGTTTATTACCGAAATGGTCCATTGACTATTGTGAAATTACCAATTTGGTCCTCGACAATTTTTCGTGCCTAATTAGCGAGTCCTCGACTTTGAAAATGTTAACCAATTTGGTCCTTCGTTTATTTTGTTGTTAGGCATCCGTTAACTTGGGACCAAATTGGTAATTTTGTTATAGTCAAGAGACCATTTCAGTAATTAACTTTCAGAAAAAATGATGCATGTGATGACCGAAATGGTCCATTGACTATAACAAAATTACTAATTTGGTCTCGAGTTAACAGATGTCTAATGACAAAATAAACGGATGACCAAATTGGTTAACATTTTTAAAGTCGAGAACTTAATTTGACACAAAAAATTATCGAGAATCAAATTGATAATTTCACAATAGTCGAGGAACTATTTCGGTAATAAACTCAAAAAACATGTAATATTACTTTTAATTAGATCCGACCCACAAAACCAGATGACTTTTATATCAATCAGATCTCCCGGTGTCGTACGGTTTTAGTGTGTACAGGAATATCTTTAGAAAAGTGGGTGATCTCTTTTTGTGAACAAGAAGATCACATATATAATTGGTTTACGTGCTTTTGAGAGTTGAAAATTCTCTACCCAAACTTAACACTTTTTTAACACGCAGATTTGGCGAACGGTGGAATACACGCGTAGGCAATTGCCTACGCGTGTATTCCACCGTTGTTAGAGTTACCTATACTCCTATACAATATATACTCTTTCTACACGCGAAAATGCGAAATGCGTTTGTTCGGTTATTTGGCAAGTATGGACAACTTCAAATCTTTAATAAGTGTATTCAAAAAAATTAATAATAATAATAAATTTTAGTCACTTGCGCACTTCATCGTTGATGAATTGACACATATACGCACTCAATATATTTATTTATATTATTAATATCAATGTCTCATTATTCATGTGGATGAAAATATTAGAAATGGTCCAAGAATAGAGACTTGGGATCCAAAAGCTCACAGCCCAGGGCCCAAGGAGAATCCACGATCCAAGATTCAAGAAGAGTTCATGGCCTAAGAGCTAAGCAATAGTTATGCTCTGCAACCGAATGTACCATGCGCATGGTGCATACGATGCAAAATGATGTTGTTTTGACTAAAAACGCGCGTCTCACTTTAAAAAAAAAAAAAATCAGGTTCGATTTTCGGCAATAGCATTATTGTGGATATATAGTTATGAATTTCTGGATATATAGTTATAAATTTGTGGATATATAGTTATGAATTTATGGATATTTAGTTCTGAATTTATGGATATTTAGTTCATTCATTGTGGATATTTAGTTCATTCATTGTAGATATTTACTTCATTCATTCACTGTGGATATTTAGTTCAATCATTGTGGATATTTAGTTCATTCATTGTGGATTTTTACTTCATTCATTCACTGTGGATATATAGTTATGAATTTGTGGATATATAGTTATGAATTTCTGGATATATAAAAATGCAATTGCTGGGAATCGAACCTGATTTCTTCTTTAAGTGGGACGCGCGTTTTTTTAACCAAAACGGCGCCGTTTTGCAACCGTATGCACCTTGCAAGGTGCATTCGGTTGCACAGCATAATTTGCGAGAGCTAAGAGCGAGGGATGCTCCGGACAAGGTGGAAAGGGCCCGAGCACAACGTAAGGGACCATTGGACAACACTCGGACATGAGGTGAAGGCATCCGAAGCCAACTCTGGGCTGGCGACCATTTCTGCCCTAAAGCTTATCTTTGGGTCCGAGATGGTGGGCCTTGACTTGGTCTCTCCGCCCACCACACGTTTTTTAGGAGTTTCTTCAGCTTTTTCTTTATATAAATTAATATCGTCTTGGCTTAGACTATGTTCAATTTTACTACACAATATTCTTTGTAATACTCTATAGTTAATTCATAGAATATTATTACAATTTATCTTCTCTTTGTTAGGAATTTACAGTCCTAGATGTATTGAGTTTCCTATTCCTACATTATGTGTAGTATATTTGTGTGTATCGTATCTGTGTACAAGAGTATTCTAGAATACAAACATTCATATAGTATCAGTAGTCCACGTTTCTCATGGCGGCTTCTTTTGTGACTATTTTTGACGACTTTGCTTGTGTCTTATCCGAGTGGACCGTTTCTGATGCGGCTACTGTCTCTCTTACGTAGGTAGTGACGAATGCCCTCTTTACGACACAACATTTTGTCTCTATCAAATTGACCTTAAGAGATTTTCTCTTTTGGCGCACACAACTTATTTTGTTTCTTTATAGCCAAAATTTGTTGGGTTTTGTAGATGGAACGCATCCTTGCCTGCCAACCGCTTTCTCTTCAGTCTCAGGTGAAGTGTTGGCTTCTACTACTCCTACTGTTAATCCAACGTTCTCCTTATGTCTATGATCATATCTTCCCTCTATGGGGAGGTTATGCACATTGCCATCAGTAAGTCAACGTTAAAGGAAGTTTGAGACTCCATGAAAGGGCGATGATGTCTACTTTTTGTGCGCATGCGTTGTGGCTTCTGGGGTAGATCCAGTCTGTCTAGCAAGGGGATATGTGGGTTACAAATTATTTAGGTCGTGCTTAGGTTGTTGTTGAGGAGCTAGATGACTCTCGTCGGCCGGCCAGTCTCCCTTGACGAGCAAAATCTTTACGTTTTTCATGGGTTGCAGCCGGAATTCTAGTCTCTGGCTAAGTTTCTCTCCGTTCGGGGCTCACCGGTCACGCTCTGTTAGGAATAATTGTAAGATTTTGATGAACCAAAATTGTATTTTGAAGAATTAGAATTTTCCAATTTTATTTTATTTGAGTCTAGTATTGGTTCTTATACGCAAGCAAAAATATACAGGGGATTCAAGCAAAGATTACCAAATCAAGGAGAATTAATCTTGATAAAGAGTATTAAGCGGGAATTGATCTTAAATTAATTTAGAGCACAAAAAATAACAAAGGTTCCAATGGCAAAATCGGAAGAACACTAGTTAGAGCATGAGTCAAGAGGTATATAGTTTGAATCCTAATGAAGCATTTTTGTGAAACCACCTCTACTTATAGAAGCCCAAAGCCGTGCTCTAGGGCAAATGAACGAACCGGTTCCGATGCGCTCTACTACTACCATTACTTATAGAAGCCCAAAGCCGTGCTCTAGGGCAAATGAATGAAACGGCTCCGATGCACTGCTACTACCATTGGTGGGCTCTACTACAACTGACGCTCTACTACTACCATTAGTGGATGAACGAACCGGGCTCTACTACTACTAGCAATGGGCGGAAGAGCTGAACAAACTGGCTCTACTACTAGCAACGGGCCGACGAACCGGCTCTACTACTAGCAATGGGCGGATGAGCTCTACTACTAGCATTAGTGGATGAACGAACCGGCTCTACTACTAGCATTGGTGGATGAACGAACCGGCTCAACTACTACTACCATTGGTGGATGAGCGAACAGGCTCTACTACTAGCAATGGGCAGATGAGCTCTACTACTGGCATTGGTGGATGAACGAACCGGCTCTACTACTAGCAATGGGTGGATGAACTTTACTACTAGCATTGGTGGAAATTGTCACGTGTGAAATAGAGAAGGAGAAGAAGTAGGCGGATGAGCTCTACTACTAGCATTGGTGGATAAATGAACCGGGCTCTACTACTACTAGTAATGGGCGGAAGAGCTGAACGAACCGGCTCTACTACTAGCATTGGTGGATGAACGAACCGGTTCTACTACTAGCAATGGGCGGATGAGCTCTACTACTAGCATTAGTGGATGAACGAACCAGCTCTACTACTAGCATTGGTGGATTAACGAACTGGCTCTACTACTACTACCATTGGTGAATGAACGAACCGGCCCTACTACTACTACCATTGGTGGATGAACGAACCGGCTCTACTACTACTACCATTGGTGGATGAACGAACTGGCTCTACTACTAGCAATGGGCAGATGAGATCTACTACTAGCATTGGTGGATGAACGAACCGACTCTACTACTAGCAATGGGCGGATGAAATCTACTACTAGTATTGGTGGAAATTGTCACGTGTGAAATAGAGAAGGAGAAGAAGTGGGCAGATGAGCTCTACTACTAGCATTGGTGGATGAATGAACCGATTTTACTACTAAAAATGGGCGGATGAACTGTACTACTGGCATTGGTGGAAATTGTCACGTGTGAAATAGAGAAGGAGAAGAAGAGCTCTACTACAAGCTCTACTACTAGAGCCCATGCAAAGTAACTCTACTATTAGAGCCCAAGCAACAAGATCTCTACATCAAGTTATTCCCAAGCAACAAAGATCTCTACATCAAGCTATACTACCCAACTCTACTATAAGATCTAAAAATAGATCTCTACGGAGGTTCCAAAACAAAGCTCAAGCATGCATTCCTTAAATAATAAAGGCTCTATCAACAGCTCTACTGAAGGTCCAAGGATTTTACACAGAGAAAGAGAAGATGCTAAATTATACTCTATCAAGGACGAAGGACTCCATTATAATTTTTACATGGACTGCATGAACACAAATGGAACCAGAGAAGGAAGAAAAAGGTTGATTCACGACAAATTGTTTGAGCTCAAGAAAGAATCAACAGATTGAAGAAATTATTTTATGCTCAAGCAAGAATCAACAGACAAAATATTTGGAAGATCAACTTGATTCAAAGCAGTCTAAAAACAAAACAAAAAAAAAAAAAAAAAAGAAAACGACATCAAAACATAACGCCCAGCCAGGGCCAGAAAGTACTCGATCACAAAAACTCTCCCTGAGTTACTACTCCCCCTTTTTGCCAATGGTAGCCAAAGATTAAACCTTTGAGGGAGAGTCACAGTCAGACTTCACGGGATCCTCAGCAGCAGCAGCAGTAGCAGACAGGCTCATGCGGAGAAGAACAGTAGCTAGCTCAGTGCGCGCACCAGTCAGTTGCTTGGCAATGATACCGTGCACCGTCTCAAGATCAGCAACTCGCGCCTTCAATTGTTCGGAAAGCCTCTCATCTTTAGCATGTGGAGACTCATCATTCACAGCATCAGGTTCCGAATTGGATGGGGCAGTCACCGGAACGACATCATTAATATGATCTCCAGAAAGAAGACGTTTATCAACAGTGTAAAGCAGCGTCGGACTGATCACTTCGCTGGGCATAGGCTTAAGACCCTGAGAGGTAAGGATGCCAAAAATCAGATTTGGAAACGGTAGTCTTACCTTCTGTTCCCGGGGATGAACCAGAGTTAGAACATGATAAAAAATCCATTTGCCCAGATCACACTGCATCTTAGTTCCAATTCTAAATAAGAACCCTGCCAGAAGCTTGCCAACCGTGTTGAAATGCGCTGATGGAAGCCAGTTGTGCAGAGCCAGGCGATGTAGGATGACATATCTAGACGTGAGATGCGAGCTCAGCAAATAGTCCTTATCTCCTGTAGGCCAAGATGTAGTATGTCCACCAGTAAGAGTTTTGGCCACCACATCCCATTCAGTAACAGCTTCTTCTTGCACTGTAGGCAAGCCATAGTATTTATTTATCACATCTGGCCCAAAATCATACCACTTCCCTCTGATGAAGATTTGCATCGGTCGTGGCCCTGTGAGACTGTCAATCTCATCACTGAGATTGCAATAGAACTCATATGTGAGCAGCTTGGAGTAAGGGCAAACATCTGTAACAGTTTTCAAAAGACCAACTTCATTCAGCAAGGGCAGGATGTCGCAAACGGAGTTCAGTTGATTCTTATCCACAGTTCTTTGAACAATCAGCTCTCTTCTGACCATAGTGGCCCATTTTGTTTGTGCAGCAGGAGATACAAACTGATGTTTGTAAACAGTAGTATCAATTCCTTCAATAGGTGGAACCTCCGGAGTTACACTTCGACCTCTTGACCTTGTGGTAGGTTTCCCTTTTCTGACAGAGGGGGCTGGTGCAGAAGAAGCTTGAGCAGCAGTAGTGCCTTGTTGCTTAACAGAGGAACGTAGAGTCTTGAAAAATTGGTGGATAGGTGGGTCTCCTTCAGGCTTAGCAGTGTCACTCGACTTTCTCTTCTTCACAGGCTGATCCACATCAACATTATCAGCACTGGTTTCAACAACAACCTTCGTTGGAACATTCTTCCTTTTTGGCCGTCTTGTTTCTCTGGATGGGGACTGAACAGGAGTCACCGAGTGGCTAGAATCAGAAACATTTGCAGATGAGCTCCCAACAATATTTGATATCTCTCGAATTCTGGAATTCGTGGAATCGGGATGAGCAGTTCCCTCAACAGTAGGGGCAGCAGAAGAAGGTGCTTGGGATCCATACACCTCAGCCAGAATCTTATCATCTTCACTGGAGGATTCTGAAGGGTGTATCACTCGATAAGGTTGAGGGATCGAAGCAGATGGTAACCCAGCAAAATGTTACACATGTTCCAGGATTTCTCCCAAAGATGTTGCAGTGTAAACAGGAACTCCACCTGTTTTCTCAGACTTGTGGGGACTTGATAAATCAACAGTTTTAACAATTGCAGGTAAGGCAGGAGGATCAACAGCAGGACAAGATTCTTTAGAGACATAAACAGTTTCAGACGGAGGCAGAGCAATGTTCTTAGAAGCATAAACAACCAGACTCAGTGGATTTGGCTCATCAGAGGACTTTGTTTTCTCATCAGACACATGTAACGCATCAGATTTTTCACCAGCAAAATTAGTCACAGGCAAAGATAAAGGATCAACATTCACAGGGGACTTCTCGGAACCCAAAGAAGATTGATTTTCAGGCAAAACAGACACAGACGATGGAATAGAAGAATCAACAGGTCTATCAGGAGAAATTTCAATAGGGGTTTCAGAATCATTTACCCGTTATCGAAGAATCTCCTGTCTGTGTGTTGCTTCTCTCTGAGCAGCTTCAAGATACAGAGCTTGGGACTCCTCTCGTCGTTGAGCTTCTTCAACAGATTGTAGGGCACGTTGAGCAAAAAATTGAAGGAATGCCCCGGCCCGATTTCCATCGAAAGGTTCTGGAATAAACACTGGAGAGACGTCATCACTGGCTTCGGCGACCAACACAAGAAGTTCAGTTACATCATCTGCCGACCATTCAGCATAAAACTCCGGATAGTTGGTCATAACAGTCACCAGAATCTCGTCGCGAAGCAGAGGATCAAGTTTGAGCTTCTTCTTCATAGCCAACTGTAGAAGTGTCTGAATGTGTTTGAGGGCTGCCGCCGGAGGGTGTACCTTTCTTCCAAGCTTAATGATGATGTTTTTTACGGGGTCCGCCATTTAAGATTAAGTGCGAGAAGAAGAATAAAACACCGAGAGCAGATAAGCACGGTAAATGGAGAGATGAGAGCTGAGGTGAGTTCTTTCTTCTTGACCCCGTATCATATAGGCTTAAGGGTGAAGAACCCTAATTAATGCGGCAAGTCAAAATATCATGCAAAAGTGATTGATGGACACAACGGTATAGCTCCTTTTTAGGAAGGAAACGGAACCCAAGGGAATTTGAAATTCAAAAAGCATTGAGATCTTTTAAGATATCTTCTGAGAAGAATAAGCTTAGATGATCTTCTTAACATAAAAAGAGAGGAGTCTTTAAGGAAATTCAAAGTCATAACACTGACCCGTATTAAACCAACTCCTCTCTGACGGACCAACTGCTTTAGTCAGTCAATTCTGCAAATTCCCAGAGCAGATCTGAGAATTTCAAAACGATTAGCATCTAGTGGCTTAGTCAGAATGTCCGCCAGTTGTTTGTCAGTCAGAATGTATTCCAACTCAATTTCCTTGGATTCAACCAGGTCTCTGATGTAGTGATGCCTGATGTCAATATGCTTCGTTCTGGAATGTTGAACAGGATTCTTGGAGATGTTAATAGCACTGACATTGTCACAAAAGAGTGTCATTGTTCCTTGTGTAAGACCATAATCCAGAAACATCTGTTTCATCCAAACCAACTGAGTACAGCAACCACCTGCGGCTATGTATTCTGCCTCTGCAGTGCTTAGTGAGATAGAGTTCTGTTTCTTACTTAACCATGATACTAAGTTCTTCCCAACAAAGAAGCATCCTCCAGAAGTACTTTTCCGATCATCAATATTCCCTGCCCAATCAGCATCACAATATGCAACCAAATTCAGTTCACTATCCTTGGGATACCAGAGTCCATACTGTATCGTTCCTTTCACGTATTTTAGAATGCGTTTTGCCGCTATCAGATGTGATTCCTTTGGGTCAGATTGATACCTTGCATAGATTCCGACACTGAACATTATGTCTGGTCGACTGGCTGTTAGATACAACAGACTGCCTATCAAGCTACGATAGACTGTGTTATCCACTGATATACCAGTTTCATCTTTCGATACTTTTGTGGAAGTGGAGATTGGTGTTCTGGATGGTTTACATGATTCCAGATCAAACTTTTTGACAAGATTCTTAGCATACTTTTCTTGTGAAATAAAGTATCCTTCAGAACTTTGCTTGACTTGTAGACCTAGGAAATATGTCAGTTGACCAACCATGGACATTTCAAACTCTTCCTCCATGACTTTTACCAACTCATCAGTGTATTTCTGCAAGATTGATCCAAACACAATGTCATCAACATAGATTTGAGCTATGGTTACATGACTTCCAGTCGTTTTGACAAACAAAGTTTTGTCAACACTTCCGTGTTTATATCCGTGCTGGAGCAAATACTGTGTCAGACGTTCATACCAGGCCCGTGGGGCTTGTTTAAGGCCATAGAGAGCTTTTCGAAGCTTATAGACATACGAAGGACGTTCTGGATCTTCAAAACCTTTAGGTTGAGCCACATAGATATCTTCATGGAGATACCCATTCAGAAACGCTGTCTTGACATCCATCTAATATAATGTAAATCCCAAAATGCAGGCGACAGCCAGCAAGATTCTGATTGACTCAAGTCTAGCTACAGGAGCAAATGTCTCGTCATATTCAACCCCTTCAATCTGTGTATAACCTTGAGCCACCAACCGAGCTTTGTTTCTGGCTATATTCCCTGCTTCATCAGTTTTATTTTTAAAGATCCACTTCGTTCCTATTACGTTGACACCATCAGGTCTTGGTACAAGATTCCAGACTTGATTCCGCTCAAACTGATGTAGCTCCTCCTGCATTGCATTGATCCACAGATCATCCTGTAGAGCTTCTTTGACATTTTTGGGTTCTATCTTTGAGGTATAGCAGTAAGACCCAGATATTTCTGTCAGATTATTTCTTATTCTGCTTCTGGTTTTCATTCCATCTGACAGATCTCCAATAATGTTATCTGATGGATGGTTTTTCTGAGTTCTGGTAGGTTTGTCTTTACCAACATCATTCATGAGATCTATCTCTTGTTCCGAACTTTCTTGATCTTCATCTGATGAATCTTGTGGTTTGAACTGACTGTTGTTATTACTTGCATCTGAATCACGTAGAGGTGACTCTATCACTGTTGAGTCCACTGGTTCTTCTGGATTGTCATCGACAACCACGTTTACTGACTCCATCACAGACTGAGTCCTCTTGTTGTAGACTCTGTAGGCACGACTGTTCGGAGAGTATCCAAGAAAGATGCTCAGCTCTCATCACTTTTGGGTTCGAACTTCCCTCTTTGTTCTCTGTCAGCCAGCACATAGCACTTTGTCCCAAACACATGAAAGTATTTCAGATTTGGCTTCTTTCCCTTCCAGATCTCATATGGAGTTTTCGTCGTTCCTGGTCTAAGGTAGACCCTATTTATAGTATGACACGCTGTGTGTACTGCTTCAGCCCAGAAACGTTGTGGCATATGTGAGGCATGTAGCATAACTCTAGCCATTTCCTGTAGCGTTCGGTTCTTTCTTTCCACCACTCCATTCTGTTGACCAGTTCTAGGAGCTGAGAACTCATGTGAGATATCATGCTCGGAGCAGAAGTCTGAATATAGTGAGTTCTCAAATTCCTTTCCATGATCACTCCTCAATCTCTGAACTTTTATAATAGACTCATCTTTTTCCTTCTGAACTCTTATGTATACATTCGTGCTTGGAATTCTCTCCTTGCTTTTACACTTGGCCTGTAATGGTGAAAAAACACTACCAAACACCGTAAGACATTCAAAACAAGTGTAAAACCATAATCTAACGAGAAAGCAAGGAAAACAAGTATTAAATAGGCACGATTAAATAACTTTGTTACTGAGATGAATCAAAATAGCTATAAAAACATGCACAAATGTGATAACATCACTAGTATGTGGATTTCTTAACTAATGAAGATCTTTCCATTGCATGGAACTTCTCGGCATTTCATTAAATTTGGGCTCATCTCCCCCTAATGCCGTGAAATGATCTTCATGATGTATGCAATTAGCGTATCTATTGATCCCCTATAATGGGCTCTAGGTATTTAAACAACAGACGGAGATTTATAGCCCAGAGATACGCTGAGGTGATGATACAATAAAATGAACTACATACTAAGAATAGAAACGCAGATTGAGAAATTTTCAATTCTACCATGTACATAGTTGCAGTAGGCGCTAGGCGCTAGTCGAGCGCCCGGACAGCGACTAGCGCCGAGCCGGTCTAGGCGGCGCCTAGGCAAAATCTAGGCAGCGCTAGGCGGGTACGGTGCCACAAATACAGTGGCAGACTTGTAGTTTGACAATTTTAATGAGGTTGTTTTCAACATTCAATCAAATAACACATTGCCTAGTTCGTTAATTTTTTAAAAAATCAATGACATTCAAAATACTTATTATAATCTGGGCATGTACTACTACAGGAGTACAAGGTGACTATCACACATGACAATGAGACCCACACTATTTTAAAATAATTTTAGTTATGTACTTCAACTAGAGTAGAACATATTCATGTTCCATCTGAAAGGTACCATCCGAGAAGTAAAACCCGTCCAGAAAATCAAACATAGAGAAGTAAATTCTGAATTGTCAAATAATTCCGGGTGACCCACGAGAATTAATTTCTCAGATCATGCGTCCATTTTATACATTAATGGATCACAATAATTTATTGATCGTAGGATCATACGATCCTTTAGGGATCAACTTAGGCTCTATGGATCTTTTTTGATCAAATATTCATAACCGAGGGTTTAGACCAAAAGGTGACAAATAAAAATTGGTGCTCTTAGTGTTTACCTTCTGGGCAAAACTATATATTAAAAATTAGGAACTATCATCTTGTTTGGATATTCAGATTTGAGATTTATTTCAATGTCCGAGACTCATATAAATAGATTTTTAAAATAAAGACTAGCACGATAAATAAGCTTAAACTTGGACAAATAATCAATTGACTTCTAAATAAATACCAAGTCAATTTTCATTAAGAGATTGTCCTAGTGTTGTTATATTCTAATTAGTGCTATGACTTGTCGCCTAAAAATTGAAGCTATAATCTCTCTTAAAGCGTAGGGTGTGAGTTAAATCACAACATTCAGGCTCATATCATGTTATTGTTATAACAAGAACAACTTAAGGTTTAGCAACAACAGGTGCAACCTAACAAAACCATGTTTTCAGTGGCCTATAGCAAATAATTAATTGCCAACAAGAGAGACAACAAATTCTCTTATATGAGCCTAATCAAAATATTATATGCTAAATTTTGTCAAATAAAAAGAAGCATATTCAATATGTGATATAATTGTCCCTTATGTCTTGGACACCAAAAACTCAATTGAGTCATGCACATATATTATAAATATGGGATAACATGTATAATACACACAAATATAACATGACTAGACATGCTCCATTAATCCATAGAATAGATAAGAGTATGATGAATGTACCGTTCACCAAAGATAATGAGCACAGGTTGGTATCATTCTCACTCGTTTAGCACCCTTGGGTCCGCCGGTAAGCTGACATTTATTTAGAACAATCTATACTCTTAAAACCATATCATGTAGTATAGAAGCCTAGGAGTGGATGAACTCTATCCGATTTCAACTTTGTGGCTCATGTAGAAAATCCCATGAATCCAGCAGCAAACAATCAGTCAGTCAACTGTACTAGTTGTGTTCAAACCACGGACTGTACAAATCAATCCACCAATTCCACAGCTAGCCAGTCACAGTAGTACATGCTTAAAATCTTAAATCAGAATAGAGAAAATTTCAATTTTAGTCATACGACTATAGGGGCTTTGTTAATTTCAGCACCTAACTTTTAAAATTATCAATTTAGTACCTTGAGTATGTAATTTTTGTCAATTTTGATCACTCCGGTCAAATTGCCGGCCAAATTTGACCGGAAAATTTTA